TCTCTGCTCCCTCCCACAGCACGGTGAGAGCGTCCGAGGGGCCCATCTACAAAGGGGTCTGCAAGTGCTTCTGCCGCTCCAAAGGCCACGGCTTCATCACCCCTGCGGATGGAGGGCCTGACATCTTCGTGCACATCTCAGAGTGAGTCCTGTGTGTGGCCAAGGAAGGCTGCAACTCTGCTTTGCCTTCCTTCCTGAGAGCTTTTGACATTTCTGATCTGTCACCCTTTACCCCAGCAAAGAGGGGTTATGAAGATGTTGCTGCAGCAGTAGATTATGCTGTTCTTTTCCTGTATTATTATAAATCTGTTGAGTTAAAAACTAGAAGATGATCCTTAAATCTCTTAGAATAGCTATGCCCAGACCCAGAAACTTGCATTCACCTGAAGCAAATGCTCTATGCAGTGTCTAGTTTTAAAGTCAAGATTTATAAGACTGAAAATTCACTACTTTTACTTTGCACTGCTTGTGCCATTATTAAACTAAAGGTTAATTGCCCTTGCTGTAGAGAAAAGTCACACTTTATTACTTCCTTGAATTTATCTATCTCAGGTTGTGAGCAGTTTACAGTAAAAGCTTTCTCTGTTGAAGGGTTCATTAGTAGCTCAGCCTTTTTGTCCTGAACACACTGAGACCCACCTCCTCTGAATTWACCTTTTGATAAACTGAGCAGATAAAGCTTTTTACATCCCTTGCTGAGAATTTTTCTCCAGTCTGAACCAGTCTTTGCAGCATACTTAGAAGAGAGACTGAAGAATTTAAGTATCGTTTTAAGACTGTACACTGTACACATACTTTGAGTGTAAGGAGATAAAATCTCCTTCAGAGTCCTGCTCTGTTTCTCCTTCTGTACATCCCATAATCGCATTAGCCCTTTATCCCCAGTCTTTGCAGAGTTGCTCACGTGCTCTGACCTCAGCATCCTYYGCAGTGTGGAGGTTTGGAGCAGTCCCAGACACAGCCTGGCGTTCCCTGCATTCCTGATTCTGTTCATGTGCAGCTTCTGCCTTGGGGGCAGAGCAGCACATCCCATTGGATGGGCCCTGCCTGCCCAGGAACCCCGGGCACACCCCATRCCTCTCCTGGTGTTTATTGCCTGGCTAATCTGAGAGTTTAATGGGCAATTTTATATTTGTTCCTATTCTGAGGTGCTGGCCAGTGTTGGTCTCTGAGGGKGTGTGTGTTCAGACTGCTCAGTGTTTATTTTCCAATAACCTCTTCTAGATCTAGCACCACTCTTATTCCACCTGTTGCTCTCAGGATTGAAGCTCTATAATCCTTATTTGTTGTTCAGAGTGGTTATCCAGTGCTAAGTCAACAAAAGCCATACCAAACCTACTCTGGYTGCCCCAGCTGTGTTTCCTGGTTGTGGATGTGTCCTTGGAGTGCTTGGCTCTGCTCCAGGTTTCTGGAATGTCACTGCTCTGTGGGCATTGCCAAACCAAAGCTTTGTAGGGTGCAAATAGGCTCAGTGGTCTGACTTGTGTTCAACCCAAGGAAGTGTCATTAAATATCTTATTCTTTCTCTTTTGTCTAATGAAAATGCAAAATTTCTTCTCCTTTCCTGAGCAACTTAAAAATAGCATTTCCTATGTCACAATTTAAAAAATKTAACTGTGAACATCTAGTCTGACCTATACACTTACTGATCAGCAGGGGTTTAGTTACAACAGCCTTCTCAGAGAAACATGAATTTTCAGCCTTCTAATGAATTCCTTTTAAAGAACTGTCTATTTTTGGTCCTGTGGGTTTTTTTTCCCTCTGTACATTTTCTCTTCCAATTAGCCCAGTAAAATTTTCTTCAGTTATGTGAGATTATTCCTTTTAAAACCCTGGTGATGACTCTTTGATTGGGGTGGCTGTTTTGTTTGTACAGAATGTGAGCTGCTCTATCAGGTTCCTATTTTGTGGCCCAGCACATCTTTCTGTCTGATTCTGGGTGCACAAAGCGTTCCTGCCCTCAATTCCCCTCCAATCCCAGGGATGGTTTTCCTGTTTCAGACTCCCATMTGTCTCCTGTGCTGAAATCCCAAATGACACTGTTAAAATAATTTGTCTGCTGTGATTTTTGGTGCTGTGTGTGAGAGCCCCCTGTGACAGGAGTCCCCTCTCGTGGGCAGTGTTGATCCCATCTGCTCTCACATCAATCAGCTCAATCTGAGTSGCTGTGCCCTTCCTGCCACCCACTCCCTGGATCCTGAAACACCTCTGAAGGAGTCAGCAGGGCTGTAAAATTTTATGGGCATCCACAGAGGTGGAACATTTCCAGKGTGTTTGTTTTGCTGAGCACCCACTTCCTCTACCCCACCCATGTGTGCCTTTCTGGCAGAGGGTTTGCCCAGCCCATGGTTGGCAATTCCAGCACTGACATCCCTGATTCCCTGGGTGATCTCTTCCTGCAGGAGCAGATCTGGCTCTGAGTCCTTTCTGGGGTTTCACTGATGTGGCTTTCCCCATGGCCCTTCCCTTCTCCTCCCATCTCCACAGCAGGTGAACAATGCCTTTCTTTTCCAAGAACATTTGTGTGTTCAAAGATTCTTCCCCTTGCTCTTTCTTCCCCTTGCTAAGAAACATCTTAGCAAGGTTGGTTCCTATGGATTTTGTAGGACTGAAGTGTTTGGTGTTTTTACAACTCCTCTAGGTCAGTTCTGCTCTTTTGAAGTCAACAGCATTTTTTTCTGTTGTACCAGGAATGGGCCAGGGTTTTAAATGTTTCATGTGTAGGTACTGTCTCAGAGCTTCAGTTCAAAAATAGCTGATGTTTCTGCCTCAACCTGTTAGTGGAAAGTGCTATWATTGAAGCACTGGAGGTTTCAGCACATTGTGTTCTTTAATTACTCTGAGTATATCTGAGTTGTTGCAAACAGCTTTTAGTGCTGGAGGGTGATGGTATCGCTGTCTTAATTCTGATGCAAGGCAACACTGGAAGGACAAATTAGTAATGCCTTTCATTTCAGTTTATTTCACAGTGAATTTGATTGCTCTTTATTAATGGGAATTGCTTTTTGCAGCAGTGTTCTGTGGCTTAGGGGACTCCAGTGACTCTGGTTTGCACTGTGTGAGCTTTAACATCCTCCCTATGTTTAAAAAGTGATTCTTTTCCATCYATTTATTCAGTTAAATATGAATGTGAGGGAGATGTCAGTCTGTTCACTGTCCCAGTGTGGTACAGGCATCTACTGGTGAAATGAAAGCAGATTGTTTCTCCCAAATCAGTTTTCCCCAAAAGCTGGGATTTCAGGAATGTGGATGAAATGGTTATGCCAGTTTGCATTCGGCAAGATCGACTGCTCCTCTGTGTTCATCACTAAGCTCTGATGATTAGTGCAGGTTTTAAGCACTGGGACCAGCTGCCTATCTGGCAGATTAACATGATTGTCAACATAAACATTTAATTTGAGGAATTAAATTATTTTCTTCCCTAAGCTTTGAGGAGCTGTGAGGTTACACTTTAGTGAAAATGTCTTCCATAAGATGGGATGTCTGTTTCCTCTAAGTTTCTGTATTATTTTTTTTGTAAGATAATAACACTGAGGATTGCATTTCTTTTCTATAAGCCAGCATTAGCCCAAAAATAAAGTCAAGTGTGTGGCATTCAAAAACATCATTTGGCAAAATTTTCTGTGCATCAATGTGGACACGTGGCCATGTTTTGTGAGTGGAACTTGCAACAAAGGTGCTTTACTGTGTTGGACTTGTGAGATGTGGGTAGAAATACAGGATCATGGAATTGTTAGGGTTGGGAAGGACCTCTGGAGATCATCCARTCCAACCCACAAAAAGGCAAGGTCAGCTGGAGCAGGAAGCACAGGAATGCTTCCAGGTAGGTCTGGAATGTCTCCAGAGAGGGAGAGTTCACCCCCTCCCTGGGGAGTTGTTCTGGTCACYTTTGACATGAAGAAGTTCTTCCTCATGCTGAGGTGGAACTTCTTGGGGTTTGGTTTGTGGCCATTGCTCCTCATCCTCACTGCTGAAAGAGTCTGGCACCATCCTCTTGGCACCTGCCTTTGAGAGCCTTTGACTGCATTAATGAGATCCCCTCTCATCTCCTCCAGACTGCCCAGGCCCAGCTCCTGCAGTTTCCCCTCATAGGAGAGATGCTGCAGACCCCAAATCATCTTTGTGGCTCTGCTGGGCCCTCTGTGGCAGCTCCTTGTCCCTTTTGTCCTGAGGAGCCCACAACTGGACCCAGCAGAGGGCAGGGTCCCCTCCCTGCCCCGCTGGCCACACTTCCCAACTCACCCCAGGATCCCATGGCCCTGCTGGCCCCAGGGCACACTCRTGGKCASCTTGTCACCCACCAGCACCCCSAGMTCCTTCTGTGCAGAGCTGCTCCCTCTGGGTCAGCCCCAGCCTGTGCTGCTGTTTGGGGTKTTTYCTCCCCAAATTCAGGACCCTCTGCTGAGCCTCCTGAGGCTGCTCCTGCCCCGTTCATTCTCCATCCTGTCGGGGCACTGCTTCAGTTTTGTGTCATTGGTGTAAGARCCCATCACTGGTTGGAAATGCAGGTTTGAAAAGTGCTTTTTGTGCCTGGCTTTGTGTTTCTGAGTGGCTCTGAAGGCTGCAGAGAGGATTTGTTGGGTAACAATTGTGTGGAGCCACTTTTCCACTCATTGGGTACRAGTCAGTCCTGCTTCCTTGTGCTCACTGGAGAGTTCTCAAGTTGGTTTAAACAGTTGTGCTGGGAAAATGTCATGGCTCTTTGGGTGTGAGGAGGTTTTGTTTTTCTCAGGTTCATACTTCACCCCTCTCTAGAACAAACACAAAATGTGCTGGCTGTAGTGAGTGCAGAACCCCAGCTGGCGAGCATGGAGGCAGAGGAGTGGCTGAGGCAGTAATTCCAGTAACATCTCTGGAAAAGCAGGAAGCAMAGGCAAATCCATTTGTCTGGAGTGAAACTTTTTAAAAGCCCATAATTATATTTTTCAAACAGCGATGTGTACTGTTCATGCTTTCATTTCCAGCAGCCTGTAAGGTGATCTTTACTGCCCACCAGGCTGATGGTGGTGTTAGAGCATCAGTGTGAGAGCTGTGTCTGTGATAACTGCACCCACTGTGATAACATCAGTGTGTGTCTGTGATAACTGCACCCACTGTGATAACATCAGTGTGTGTCTGTGATAACTGCACCCACTGCTCTGC